GTGCAAACCGAAAGAAAATTTGCAATGCGGAAACAGTTTTGTTGGATTGACAAAAAACAAACTTCCCCAAAATGCTCTCCCGATTCTGTACGTGTAATAAGAAGGGAAGGCGTTCTTTTGTCTTCAGACATCACGTATCAAACATATGTTAGCCGGCCGTAGGAGTGCTAAGTTTGACGTCATAGATAGACAGACATAAAACAAATCTTCGAAGCATAGTCATAAAACGTCACTCGTTTGCTTAGCACGCAACCAGGTATAGACGAAATCGTTTTTTCCTGTTTCGTCTTCTTCATCAAACAATGAAACTACAGTTTTACTTAGCATCTATTATTTGTGTCTGCTGCTGCCTGTGGAGACAAGTCACAAGTAAGTGAATCACCAAGTGAAGTGTATTCGGTTTCTACAAGTATTTGTGTTTAGTTGCAGCGCCTTGATCACCAGGTTAAGTAATTTTGGGTTGCCACAACCGTCAAACGAGCAACATTTGCGTAATGGGACAACGGTGCGGAAAATTCCTGGCCAAGTTCCGGCTGAGATCGCTGAAAGAAAACGACAAACCAGCAGTGTAACGCTTCGAAATTTACAACTGCGACATGGGACCTACCCCCCACCCTCACCCCGATCTTCCAACCGTTGCCGTAAGAACCCGTCCCCCTTGGGGAATAAGGTAACTCTCCAGCCTTCATCGTTGAAAGAAAGAAAGAACCGCGAGAGAACTTCCACGGCGTTGAGGAAATAGCGTGGCTGTGGGTAGTCAAAAGTTATTCTGACCTTAAGAATTGCAAAAGCCCTGGATTAAAATTGTGAAATTTTATTAGCGCACGCAAATCCCAGCGGGCTGAGGAGAACAGATCAGTAGAGCAATTTCTTTGTTCCTACATGTATTTTTAAAACTACTATTTGGTTTCTTTTTCTCGCATGCCTACCGGAAATTCCATTACTAATGTCACTAATGAATTCTTGATGTTTATTCTGCTCTGAACCAGCGGCGCTCGAGTCACACTCAGTGTATTTTATCTCAAAGCATAATTGTGTTATAATCGGCCAGGGGTCGTGAGGAAGTCAAGTCGATTATCCAAACCTATTTTTATCTCCTGGTTGATGCCGTTCTTTCTTCTCGTCACCTGCTCGCATCATATTGTATTCATATTGTAATGAGTAATTAGACTTAAATATTGATAATTACGCCGGATCAACAGTCCGGCATTAAACGTAATTTATGAAAAGTGACGTCGAGTATATATCCCCTGTATCCTTGCAAGAAACGTGAATGTGTTTAATGTTTGATGATATACTGACAGTGCCACGTATTCGCAAAAACAAAACAGTTCGATGGCGGGATAGTAGCAGGGGGAGAACTACAATTCTTCCTTTTAGGCCTTTTAGTTCCTATGTTTTTAGAATTTTGTCAATAAACTTTTCTAAAAAACTTCGTTTGATTCAGCTCCACGGAGATCAAATGAATTTTCACGCTTCAGGGGATTTCAATAGTACAATTAGGTATGTCAGTATATCTGGTTCAAAAAATGTTTTGTAACGGTCGTTGGCGGTCGTTAAGACCACTTAGCTGCAAGTCTGACATGTCCAGGTATATATCCCTTACAATCCCTCGTAAAATGGAATTCGCTGGATATTTCAGCTATTTGTTAATAGCTGAAACTCTTTTACTCGTTGCTGGGCAAAGTTTACACGATTACGGCTTAAATGCAGGCCAGCGAGAAGCTGTCAAAAGAACAGGTATGATTAATTTGAATTTTGAAACGTCTAAAAACACCTTCGTCATGTTAAGAAGGTCAGCGCATCTTAGAATCATTTGTAAAATGATTCCTGAGGGCTAAACGAGAGGGTTGCACTCTAAATGTTTGCGTTTAATGAAATGGGTGGCCAATTAACTATTGAAAAAGGGAATGCCATCCTAATAATATATGAATATAGGTCTTGCCTTACTTGTATAGATTACAATATTAAATTTTGACTGTTTGATTTATAAAATTGTATAATTAATATCTTGTGTTCAGTAACCAGTTGTGTTTCTTTGTGGACCTGTGTCTTCTAAAACTGCGACTACCTTGTAAATTGCTTCAACTGGCATCCCAGTGGTAAACAGCAAATAATAAATACTTACAGTTATGTAACGGCAAGATAAAACAGATCTAACTTATGGATATAAATTGAAGTTGCTTGCATAATCATGCAGTTTCAGTTATACAAATTAGCGCTTTTCTTGAGTCCCTCTCTGTGAGTGAAATGGTATGCATCTTACCTCTGCTTCAGGTCGTTAGTTTGTAAAGGGACAAAACTTTCAAGAAAAAACATTGTCGCTCAATTTAGCTCTTTTAACTCGTCGAGGGATTAACGAATGTCGCGCATGGGGAAATGAAAAACATGAGGCCCTAAAAGGGTTTTTTTTGGAGTACGGGATATTTAGGTAAAAAGTTAACAGAATACTGGATGTTTGGGGGAAACATTAATGGGACAATTAGGGATATTAAGAACAAATTTTCCTGGAAATAGAGTAGCAAATTGATAGTTTTTGACATTGAAATTTACGGGATACGGGATAATTAGACGAATTCCACGGGATAGGGGATAGTCAGACCTCCCCTTCTAATTGGGCCTCAAAAATGAGTTCACAGTTATCAACCCGCTTATTCGATGGTCTTTATTGGCTCAAATGCTAGTTTACGTTCTTTCTTTGGTGCCAACGTATTGTCTAGAATCGAGAACTTTCCTTCGCGCCGAAGTCTTAATTCATTATTTCGTGTTTTAAAATGTCTTCACAGGCTGTGTTGATAATCACCATTTCTGTCCTTCATGGCGCCAACGTGGAGAATGTACGAAAAACCCTGCGTACATGAGGCAATACTGCAAGAAAAGCTGCGGCCTTTGTGGTAAGTTATCGCTGGACTCCTGAACTGAATTTAATTTTCGCGCTCATAGATAGTCGATCAACTAGTCCAGCAGAAATAATCCAAGTCGCTCCTAAGAAGGACTTGATGATGAGAACGCACTGCATCAAGGGGAGGCCGATCGGAAAATACAAATACAACTATTTTCGGGTTGGAAACCTTAACAAAGRGAAAKTCAAGACACTCTTGAAACTTCACSAWTAAAGTGCGTTAGTTGATGTTATTTTGTTTGTTGTTGTTGTTGTTGTTGTTTTTTTAGCTCCAGTAAGTTCCTGGGGAGCCTGGAGGAGTTGGTCTAAGTGTACAAAGACTTGTGGAGGCGGTTCCAGGTTTAGGACGCGCACGTGCTATGGCAGAGCACGCTGCTACGGGCTCAGCTATCAATCCGTGAGATGTAACGTTCAGCAGTGTCCAGGTACGGTGATTCACGCCACATTTTACTGATGTACTGCAATGGAATGACTTTCAATCAACAAAATCAAAGCAATTACAATAGCAACAGCAACACAAAGACTGTCCAGGGGGTCTAAAAAATCCACTAGAGCCTCACTAGGGTCATTAGGAGAAACTCTGACGGCCAAAATTGGGAGCATATAACGCGCAGGAATTTCTCCAAGATTAACGGGGTTTCGGCAGAGCTCAGTTGAAGCGGTCTACGATTAATTTTGGGTCTTAATCTGACTGCTTAATCATTGACATCTCAAGGGTGTGTAGCTTTGACTGCGTTCTAATATTGACGATCGAGGAATAAATTGTAGAGCAGTTTAATTACGATTAGTAATCGACCCCGCATTGCAAATATGACACATCTTTACTCTTTGTTCATTACACTTAGTTTCGTCATCAAGTTGCTTCGATAACAACTGGATGTGTGATTCCTGGGCCAGAAATGGAGAATGTCAGAAAAACCCTCGATATATGGTGCCTAACTGCAAGAAAAGCTGCAAAAAGTGCGGTATGTTGTTCCCAGACTCTTTCGGTTACCAAAAACACAGACATCTTTCACCTTTCCCAAATTTATGAAACATCCATTCGTTCTTCTTGCTTTAATCTGATTTTCAAATTTATTTGATCTTATTGGCGTATATTTTGCCTTACTTATTAATTATTTTCAGGTTTAGTTCTATTTGAAGGAACTTATATGAAAAAATATTCAGTCTCAGAATTAGACTTCGAGCAATCTCTCTTTTTCTCCAAAATCCGTGGGAAGAACCCCAAAAAAGTAAGCGTGCGAGCGTGACTGCGAGCGTGACACCCGCTCTACTACAGTCACGCTCACACGCTTACTTGTTTTCCGTTCTTCCCTACGGTTTTCGAGGAAAAGAGAAACTCCTTACAGTCTATCTCATAATTCATCAAATGTTTTCGTTCGCGCACGATTGGTTTAAATGCGTCACGTGAATGAATACCGCGCGTGTTGCGAAAAATATTTGAAAGGTAATGAACACGATAGCCTCCATTTGGCGCGAAAATATGCTCGGATATTTGTCCTTGGACATTATCTGTTCCCTAAAGTTCACAGTTTTCCTCCAGTTACGCTCTCGGAAAACTGTTCGCGGACAAATATCTGAGCATATTTCGCATGATCTGTTCCTTGAAGCTGAGGGTGCATCACTCAATTTTCACTGTGAGCTCTGATTGGTACGTTGCGGTATTTGGAGCTTAATTGTGATTGGCCACATACAATCGGTTTGATTTCGGGAACCCAATATCTAGAAGACCACTCTGGTAACAAAATTTCCCCACCTTAGAGGAAGCAAGTGCTTTAAGTATGATACATAACTAAACTGGTTTTCATTTTCACAGTTGTTAATGGTAACTGGGGAGCCTGGGGCGGATGGACCACATGTTCAAAGACCTGCGGGTTCGGCATCAAGTCAAGAAGCCGAACATGCTCTAATCCAGTCCCTCAAAATGGCGGCCGTCCCTGTGCAGGGCCCTCTACTCAATCGACATCTTGTAATCCCTCACCATGCAAAGGTAATGCAACTTAGTGTCATTTTGCTTTCCGTTTCTCGTGGATAACTGTTGTGTGCATTACGTGTCCAAAAGATCATCCAATAATTACTTACCGTTTTTCTGCTTCTACGTGTTACAATAATTAAAAAGGAAATGGTGACCGTGTTTTACGTAACCTCACTGCAAAGTTGGAACAATTTCAATAACACTTCAATTTAGACCCCCGTCTCAGAAGGAGGCTTGCGATTCATCTGGAACGACTCGGAATACTTCAACCCCTCCCCCTTGTGGGATGCTATTCCATCGCAAGGAATTCACCGGCGCTCATTTATACACGAGGATAGAGAAAGGCTTTTTAAAAGAAAAGTGTATTGCCTAAGAGGACAACGCAATGATGTCTGTCAGGGCTCAAATTCGGACCGCTCGATCCAAAGTGCAGTGTTCTAGTTATAAGGCCTCGTCGTCTCCCTGGCTTTAGGTGTAACAAGTATTGGCAGCTATTTGGAAGTCTCCCAGGCGTTCTCTAGTCGTTGCATCAGGCTCTGTAAACAAGAAGTAGCGTTTCTCTAGCTCTTCTACATAATAAAGCTTACAAAATACGAGGGTTATGTATTTTTACGTCATAACCGACTTTTTAACCAGTCAGAAATCGCGTTATGTGGTCACATTTTTTGAAGCACAGGTATAAGCCAATCAAAGAACGTATTATTGTTATAAATTTAATCACAATTCGAGAGTGACCTTCATGTAATATACATATTTTTGAGTTTGCTTCTTATTCTACAGTGCCAGTTCATGGCAACTGGGGAGCCTGGGGCGGATGGAGCGCGTGTTCAAAGACTTGCGGGGGTGGTACCATGTTCAAGAGCCGTACATGCTCTAATCCAGCCCCTCAGAATGGAGGCCGTACCTGTGCAGGGCCCTCTACTCAGTCCCAATCCTGTAACTCTTCACCATGCAAGGGTAACGTAGCTAGCACTTTATTGTTACTACCGTTGTTGTTGTTGTTGTTGTTGCTGTTGTGATTCAATGTCTCAATAGACCACGTTTGATATATCAATATTCTAACATGGTTCCGAGGCTTTCAGGACAAACTTCTATGTTTGGCGGTGTTTTCTTTGCATCCAAGTATCATTTGGGAATTGAAAGACAAAGAAAACTTTAAAATTTGCAATTTTGACCCGAAAGCTTCGGATCGATGTTAGAATATTGATATATCGAAAGTGGTCTATTGAAGCTCGAATGTTACAGTAGCAGAGCTGCTGATCAAAATTGTTCTGCTTTGTTTCTTCTTTCTACCTTCGTATTTTTCCACTCAAGCGTGCAAAATGCTTTAAAGAACAACATCAAATTGAAATAGCATTCAGTTTAGAAGCTTTAAGTAGTTTAAATCTTGATATGTGTTGGTTAACACCCTTTCTGTTTGCCGATACGTTCTCTTTAATATCAGTTGGGAGAACTTATTTTTACAGCAAGAATATCCTCTGATAGAAGCTTTTCTTAATTCTCATTACTTGTTTGCCTGGCAAATTATTGATATTGTTATAGGACGTATTTTGAGTTTCTCCGCGTTAAACGTCTATTTTACATGTCTAGTTAATGGTAATTGGGCCGCTTGGGGCGAATGGGGCATTTGCTCAAAGACCTGCGGCGGCGGTTACAGGAGAAGGGACCGAACATGTACCAATCCAGCCCCTCACAATGGTGGCCTGGTCTGCCAAGGGTCCAGCTTCCAGTTAGCGAATTGTAACATACAGCTGTGTCCAGGTAACGAATATGTAAATTTGCTTCACGTATTGTAAGAACATCAGTCATGAATATGATTATTCGTACACTTCGTAGCCGGAGGGAAAGTCTTTTTTTTTTTCTTCAGTTTTCCCATGAAATTGAATGAGGCGGATCGATTTTGTCCTGGGGGTGGTACTCTGTAAATATTTGTGTATGGGTGTGCCGTAGGACACAGAAACTCTTAGCTGATACTAGACCATGATCAGCTTGATTTTCCAAACCCTATACTAGACAAGGCACCAAACACCCCTACCTTATCCCAAACTAGCTGTTTTCAGTGCAAAAACTTTATCACTATCGTTGTCCAACATACGCTAACTTAAAAAGATTTTACAAAGTCACTTCTGAGTTTCAATTTCTATTATAGAACCCTGGGTAAAGAGCCTCGTTTTCAAGCTAAATTATTTATACACTGGTCGCTTTTCCGTTAAATTATACTTTCTTCTAGGGCCAAAACTGTATGTCTGATTTCTGTACCCTATCCTAGACTAAACTGCTTGAAAACCATACCTTTCACAGCGGCACACGTCCATATAACTTATATGTGGGAGTACCCCACCTCCGGAGATTTTGCTAAGTGACGCCACAACACCTTGTCCCATGTCATTAGCACGTGCGACTTCGAGACAGGCAGAGAGCAGAATCTGGACGGAAAACTCACAGTCGATGCAAGTTCCTACTGTGTATTCAAAATCCGCGAGTCCGCTCAATTTATGGCAAAAGTCCGCATTCCGTGCGCTCTTTAGAGGGCCAAATCAGCCCAGATCTGTCGATCTGCCAATGTACTCCCCTGTCCCCCTCTTTACCCGGTTCTTCTTGAACAACATGCATGTGTATCTTGTTTTTCTTTGACACACGCATTTGTTTCATTCGCCACGCGCTTGGCACGCGCTCGTCTGCCTCAAGCCACAAACGCACCACGCGCTCTCCGCAAACTTCAAACGTAAAGCGAAATAGAAATGGAAATGTTTACTATGCATTCCTAGAGAATAAAATAGATTCAAGATTGTCGCCCATAACTGATAAAAGATTTATTCTAAACATAAATGGACGGAACCGTTGGATTCGATAAATTTCGTGAGAAGGATCGAAGTGACTTAGTCCTAAATGGAATTTTTACGGTATGGGAGTCTTCGTTAATTATATCTTTTTTCATCAGCGATGACGAGTTCCTGTCAACACGTGGCCACATTTATACAGCGGTCAACTATAATTAGTGTCAATTATGAATTGAAATTGTTATGTTTGCCAAAAAAACCCATCCAGTCTTGTCCTGAATGCAACACCTTCGCCCTATAAACAAAGGTTTCTTGACGTCATTTTACCTTCACGAATTCCAAGACTTTTCCTTTAATTACTCCGTTACCAAAGGTTAACAAGCTTACGTAAGTTTTAGAAATAAGTCAGCTCTCCTTGTGCCAAATCCAGGGTTGCGAGCAGTAGGAAAGATCGAAGCGACTCTGGTTGTTTGATCAAATTTTCCATCTTTGGGATTTTTGCCTATAAAGTTGCAACATCTACGAGTTTTTCCACGCTTAAATTCGTGATAGCTTTGAATTTTCTACAAACCACTTTTGTTAGCACATTGAGGGATGTTACCTCGTTTTTGACATTTTTCAATCTCCGACCTTCTCGCTGCGTTTTCATTGTGTTTCCTGATGTGAGAGACAATTCTCAACGCACACAGTTTGACCCACGCGGAGACGCAATGACTGGAACGCTTAACTTTATAAGCATTTTTAAAAAGGGCAAAACTGTTTCACGATGTGCTATTTTATTCACAAAAGATTCTTCTATCAGTGTTGGTCGAAATGTCTCCAAACATATAACCGATTTATTTTGGATCTCTCGGAAAAAGCCAATCGAATTCCTGTTTCGGACCCTGTGGCTGGTTTCCAACAGTTTTCACCGTTTCTGTTTCACGTCTCAATTTCATTCCGTCAGCGAGTCACCTCATCTCACAACGGGAGCGGCTGGATTATAAAGGCAAGCGGACGGACTTTATAGAGAAATTTAAGCTTCATTCTTCGTCGTTGCAAAGCACGTTTTGTGGTTAGCGGTGAATTCATTGAAGTCGAGTGGCGATTTTTAATTTTATGAGCAGTTCGCGCGCGTTAGAGAAACATCTGAAGATGAGCAGTGTTTTCAAGATCTCTTTCATTGCTGTTTTGTTGATGGTTGTTCTTCTCACGTCAAACGGATGCAAAGCTACAAGGGTAAGTCTGAATTTGTTTACGTTTATAACTGTCTAAGTAGGATTAGTCCATGTTTTAAGACCAAGTGGTCTCGCATGTTAAGCAAGCATCATTTATCCGTAATCATTTGATGTCGGTATTCACTTTTGCCGGTTCCTCACTCGCCACGAACGTTTAAGACCAGGAAACTTTGTTTAACTTCGCGCAAAATGTGATTATGACCCTAGTTCAAAACTATGGTTGTAGGCTAATTTATCAAATATTTAACTCAATTCAGTTACGAACGTGCCTGTGAAGTCTTGGAAAAAGCTAACACCAAAGATCTGCAAAATTCAGACAATTTCCTATTCAGGCGTCCTTTTTTCATACACAATAGTTCGTTTTCCCGTTTGTCTGGCATGCTGTTAAATTCCACACTTCTAACTTGCTTTTGTCGCTGGCGTACTGTGAAAATCCTCAGCAGGCAAAAGAAATTTAAGAGTCAAAGAATCCAGATTTTCTTTCCTTTTTTGGCCTCTAATCGGCTGTGGCACATTGCCAAACCATTTTCTATAATCTCTATGAAAAGTTGTGCTAGTAGATACTCAGGGGATTCATTTAAAAATGTGCGCAAAATCAAGAAAAAAAAGTAAATGAAATATGGTCTGTCTGTTCCCAGAAGAAATTACAATATGTTGGTAGTGTTAGCAATGGAAATCACCCAGGATTAGTACAACAACAACGCTAAATGATGTTTGAAGATTTTCGCCCTTTTTTCGCCTTGGGACTGTAATTAAATTAGAATGGCATCGTTGGCACATAACAATTAATCAATTAATACTAATTAGGGATTAGTTTGATGACCAGTAATCAATTGATGATAAGTTAACAACATGTTTTTGTATCGGTTAATAATCGATTTATCCGACTCTAAGTTGATTATATATTGCCTTGATCATTATTTGATCATGTTGTAAAGAAGTTTCTTATTCACTGAGAGTTTGGGCAGCTTACACAACTTTTTATCAGATTTTTAAGAACGATGAAACAAGCTACTGAGAATACCAGCAAAGTCCTCTGTGGCGACGAAACGGTTCTTCTTGCTAAAAGGGGCTACATCACGTTCTGCGCATCTTAAAAAAGTTAAGCCTAAATTTTTCAAATTCGCCGTTTGTAATCCGCGTCAATCTTCTCCATCCTTAGCCTTGCTTGCTCCTTTATGGTTTATTAAATTTATCATTTTTTGGTGTTTTTTTATCTTAGCAAACTACTATTTCCACGTTTCCTTCAATTTAAAGGTGATTTTGTTCATGGCCAAAATAACTCAAAATGCGTGACTGAGCTTCTTTAAACCTGTTTCAGGTTTTGAGATGGTGAGACAAGTGAACTAGAAGAAGGTCACTTAGAATAATCAAGACGGATTCCGCTCAAACTTCGAGCAATAAATACAAAAATTATTGACTAAAAATTTACTTACAGCACGGTAACTTTTTGAGTACTATTTAAAACATCTCACTTTGATTAATTTCCCTAAGTGGCCCCGCGATTAAATTCTCAAGCATTCTCGTAAGAGTCAATGTCAAACCTCGTAAGAATGCTTAATGCGTGTGGTTTTGTGTTTTCAACTAACGCGAAACGTGTGTTTTAATTGCAATATGGATAACTTCAAGTTCAATTTTCTCTCGCGGGGTCAGCTGGAGAGCTTAAATCTCGATAAGTTCTTCTTACCTTTATTCAAAACATTACCATGCTATGAGGGTTTTTTGGTAACTTTATTTTCGCCACTATTGCTCGAATGTTCTGCGAAATCATAAAAATTTTTTAACTTCAGACCTATGCAATAAATACCGGTTTTATCTTGTTTTCAGACAATTTGGACAGGTGAATATGGATATGACGAGGCTCGTACCAATAATGATGATGATGACGATGGAAATGATGATGATTTCTCTGGCGAGGCTGGTAATGACAGAGTCCATCTCGTATTGTCATAGCTAAAGCTTTTTCTAAATCCCCTCATCGACTGTACTTCTAATATCTATTACTTGGTTGCAGCGGTAGATGGAAACTGGGGCCCTTGGAACAAATGGAGCAAATGTGTTCAAAACTGCGGTGGAGCAGGAAGGAAAAGAAGATTAAGATACTGTATCGATCCACCCCCGGAACACGGAGGAAGGCCCTGCGAAGGGTATGGAGTCCAGACACAACGGTGTACTACAGGTACGAACTCTTTAATTTACTGCTCCATTTATTTCATTCGTGTACTGTTCTTTTAAGACGTGGGTGAAACGGGAAGGGAAGTTCCCCGCTCGGGGTGGTGAGAAAAGAGCGGACGGAAGTGGGATTTCCTAGCGCGTCGAGAACCCGGAAAAAGGCATTTTGTTCTCAAAAAAATGTCTCGACATTTTGTTGTACAAAATGAACTAAGAGGCAAAAGCTCTGATCTTAAGAAAGCCGCAGGCACCAGGCATAAAAGAAATAAAATAACTATTTTCTTTTTTGTTTGAACTAGGCAAAACCAAGCTACCCTCAAGTCGTATAGTTGGTGGCAAGGTAACTTCCATTCAAAACTGGCCGTGGCAAGTTGGGCTCCAGTCGCCTCACGATGGTTCCATCTTCTGCGGCGGGTCCTTACTCAACAAAGAATGGGTGGTAACCGCTGCACATTGTGTGGAGAATTTTGTTGGCAGGAAACGCGGTTGCGTCGACTCAGACCCCAGACGGCAATTTAAGGTTGTCTTGGGAGAATCGGATCTAAAGAAAGTTGAAGGAAACGAGACATATAGTTGTAAGAGAATTTGTTTGGTCGTTTTCAATTTTGTGTTTTCTTTTCAATATTTTTTTTTCTCAGCTTCATCGGTGAAACTGAATTATTTAGGTTTTATTTTTTGTTAAACATATATAATTTTGAGGAGAATCACCGTCCACTAGTCTTCTAAAATTTTTTTCTTATTATTTCTTATATAGATGTTTCCAACATTTGTGTTCATCAAAAATACAACGATCAAACTATGGACTATGATATCGCCCTCTTGCACTTAAGCAAAGCAGTCAACTACACCGATTCTGTAAGCCCCATCTGCTTGGCAGATTCAGCGCGTAATTATTCAGCCAGTGCGCAATGCTTCGTGACGGGATGGGGTCAAATAGAGGAGTCCGGTCCTGTATCAGACAAACTGCGTGTGGCCCGGGTCCCAATCATCGAACGCAGCAGGTGCGCGAAGATGTATAAAGGAAGCCGCATTACATCGCGCATGCTCTGTGCCGGGTATGAGCAGGGTCGGATTGACAGTTGCCAAGGCGACAGTGGAGGACCACTGGCTTGTCTGGAAAACGATAGAACGTTCGTATTGGCTGGGGCTGTCAGCTGGGGCTTTGGATGCGCCCAGAAGAAGAGACCTGGGGTCTACACAAACATCAACTGTTTGCGTTCGTGGATAGCCTGTAACCAAGGCGACTTGACGTCTTGTGGGCGGTAGGATTGTGAATAAGCCTCTCCTGGTAACATGGTGCTTTCTCAAGGCCAACTGAACAAGTTATTATATCCAAAGCTTGCCGTGTAGTTTAGAAGAGTCAGAATTGCAATAGCGATTTAATAACACTCCCTTAAACCTTAAAGCTAAAAAATGGTCAACACACAATTTCTGGTAGAACAGTCGATACAATAAGTATTACTCATCAGTAATATTTTTTTTGAAAATAACGGAGACAATTCTCGCGTGTTCATTTTGTGGAGAACTACAGTCAATGAGAGTATAGACCATGGCAATAGCCTAACCCGTAACTCTTGAGGAATCTTGAGATATCATCACAAGTTTTTCCAATAAGTGAATCAGACTTAAAATGACGTTAACTGCCTATTGCAAGCGAATTTTCACAGGAAATCGTCGGCTTCTTGCAAAAGTGAAAAACTTTTATATTTTGCTTGTTATTTGCAATTTTACTGTAGGAAAAAAGAACGGACTGAACAAATTGTGCATGATCTACACTCCATAAAAATGGCGCCAAAAATGTAGAAGGTTTTGTAGTGGAAAATCTCGCTTGCAACACCTGATTCCACTTGAGTTATGAACATTTCAGACGTTATTTCCCAGGTCTCTTAGAGTGTAGCCGGAGAACAAAAAAGTTTGATCGATTTGTTAAATATTCTCACAAAATAGTTTAATTTTTCTCTTGATTTACTTTCTGAAGATGGATACTTTTATTCATTGTAACTTTTTATTGTTCATACTTTTTACTATACTTAGTTATTTTATAATTACTCTTAGATTCTTAGCACAGAGGGCCACTAGTTTATCAGTTTATACTGTCAAGTGTCACCCTCTCTAAATAAAGTTAATTGATTGATACTGCTTAGACTATCCTTTATGGATCTCATTTACTTTTCATGTGATCATTGATGATATTCCTCCAATTTGCAGCACCCAGTTTGTATCGTGACCAACAAGGAAATTTTATATGTTGACATGAAGACTTAAGGTCACCTCTAGACAAGATTAAAGATTAGCTACTTTTCTAGTGGAAGTTAACAATGTTGTAAGAACATTGAAGCTAGATTTCGGCCCCTGTTCATGTTGGTTTTCCAAGGACCCTTAGTCAGTACTGAATGTAAACATAGGGTTGTTTTATGCTATTTATAGAGGATTAGCCATTATGAAATAATTAGTAGACGCTAAGTTATTGAGAGTTAAGGCGTATTGTTTTATAGGTATACATAATTAGAGTTATTTTGTAAGTTTACAACGTACGTAACCGTGGAAACAACGTAAATACAGCGCTTGTTCTTGAACAATCTCGTTCTCAGCGTTTTCGATCAGCGGTGACTGAACGGCCGACGCCCTTGACAAAATCCTGTTATGTTTTGTTTGTGCGCATGCTGTCTCGCCTTCCCGTTTCGCCCCGAAGTTTCAATTCTTGGTTCTAACTAAAAGGGTAGCGGGCTCTGTGAATGAGATTGAAGGATCTTAGGCAAACAAGGCATAAAGAAGCTACGACTCAATATATTTGGTCATTCTGAATTTAAATCATATTTTACTAAAGTAGAAAGACATAAAAGAAGTAGTAATAAACTATAAAGGCTAAAGAAACAAGAATGGTTAACATTGGGGTAAGACTGATTATGAATTAGCGGTTGAAAAATTCAGCCTATTTTTTAGTCAAGATGCCCCTTGCATCACGTAGTTTCTTCAAAGTGAAGAGCACGTTATCTGAAGTGTTTTGCATTTTGTTGGACGTTTTATTAACACAAAAAATAAAACAAAAAAATGGTCTCTTCTCATTTGAACTATGCGGCTCACATTTAATAAACTTACGCTTTTTCGTAACTTTTCTCCCCTGCGCTTCAGTTGGTATACTCTAATTCAATCAGTCACAAGTGGTAACCTGACTGCTTCGGTGAATAGGCAAATTAATTAGTGGAAAGTAGGTATCTATTTGGGTTTCGCGGCAAAAAAAAAAAACCGTAAACACCGGCGAGAGCCGCACTCGCAGATAAGCCACATCCCGAGTTTGGCAACTCAAATAACGCGGCTGCATATCTCAAATCACTTCCCTGGCCGGGCTTCCATGCAGTCTCTTCAACCCCGTTCGTGTCCACGTGCACAATTAAACCCGTCCATTAACAAACCGAGTTTAAAATTATATGGTATTAAAAGCGGCGTTTAATGTAGCTTAGTCGGTACAGAATGAGGAAAGCTTTATTTACCATAAGCAGTGTTTCCCTCAAAAATTGAGAACACGATTTCTTCCCTTGACATGTCACTTACCACTGCTGTGTTCTTCCCTAGTGGTTGATGGTCAGTGGGGTCTCTGGAGCCAATGGACTCCCTGCTCAAAGACATGTGGTGTTGGATTCACTATAAGAAATCGATACTGCGACAACCCTGCTCCTGAGAACGATGGTAAACCTTGTGTTGGAAAGAATCAAGAAACGCGTCCATGCTCACTGAAAGATCAGTGCCCAGCTGGTAAGTGACAAGAAACTCGAGTCAGTCACATCATCTCGTTCGCAGCGGCTATTAGATTGTCTCGTAATGCTAACGGATTGTCACATAGTGCTTGTTGAGAAATAAGTTAGATAGATAGATAGACACCTTTATTTAAAAATAAAAATCTAAAGGTAAAAATTTCAGGGTAGTCCCTTCAGGGAAATTTCAAAGCCTCTCTGCTATCAATAGGAGTCCTGAAGCTATTACCTAACATAGACTACACAATAATCGGATATATACAAAAATAAAAACATAAATATGAGATCAACAAGGATATATATATATATGTAGTCTGCAGATTCTCTTAAATTCACATTAACTATCATTGAAATAAATAGGATGATGTCAAGTGGTGGTATCACAAATCCCACCTTCTCCAACGTTTCTTCTTTAATAATGCCCACTATCTTATTTACACAGAAATCTGCGGTCGCCCTAAACCCAGTGCTAGTCGTATTGTGGGAGGTGAAGTAGCCTCCAATCGAGACTGGCCGTGGCAGGTTGGGCTCCAGAAACAGGACGATGATTTCATATTTTGCGGAGGATCTCTCATCAACCAGGAGTGGGTGTTGACCGCAGCCCACTGTATCACCCGTAACAGTCCAAGTAGAAACGGATGCGTAGCACCGAATCCTGGATTGAGAATTATACTTGGAGAGTTTGATAAGGACAACATTGATGGCCACGAGGTTCAAAAGAGTAAGTTGAGATTGGTGCTCAGACACGGTATTTTGAATTATTGAATTTTGAATTTTGGTCAAGTGCAAAATTACCTTCAAGTTGAAGGAAACCTGAAATAATGGTTTACTAATTTGGAAAAACACTAAAGAGATAATAGTAAACCAGAAAGGAACGAGGATGGTTAAGGATGGAGAAGATTAACACGGATTGCAAACGACGAACTTGAAAAAAGAGGCTTTTAAAACTTTTTAGGATGCGCAAACCGTGATGTAACTCTTTTATAATTAATTACATCACGATACACTTTGAATGCCTGAATGTCACTTCCTAACAAGAGAACTAACATATGCAACACCATAAAAGCAATACTTTTTAACTTATTTGTTGAAAGGAATGTTGTATTATCTTACGAGCAGTGAATAATCAGCTTTCACCCTTCACTACATGTAAGAATTTACACAATGTCAGTTATTTAATCTTGGCTATGACCATAGAACTGTACCAGATGAAAGCGGTAGTAGATTAGAAGCATACGGTTAGAGTGAGGTCTGGGGCTAGGTCACGTGACATCATCGTGCTACGAGACTGCGACTTCAATTCAGTTACTCGCAGGATTGATTAAGTTGTAGCGTCTTCTTGCAATATCTAACGAACCAAATAATAACTCTGGTACTCTGTTTTCCTTCAGCCGTATCCGAAATTTGTATGCATCCCGAATACAACCACAGTATCTTCAACAACGACATCGCACTCCTGNACGGTAGTTTGAATTATTGAATTTTGAATTTTGGCTAAGTGCAAAATTATCTTCAAGTTGAAGGAAACCTGAAATAATGGTTTACTAAGATAGAAAAACACTAAAGAGGTAATAATAAACCATAAAGGAACGAGGACGGTTAAGGATGGAGAAGATTAACACGGATTGCAAACGACGAACTTGAAAGAAGAGGCTTTTAAAACTTTTTAAGATGCGCAAACCGTGACGTAACCCCTTTATAATTAAGTACCGCGATACGCTTTGAAAGCCTGAATGTCACTTCCTAACAAGAGAACTAACATATGCAACACCATAAAGGCAATACTTTTTAATTCATTTGTTGAAAAGAATGTTGTATTGTCTTACGAGCGGTGAATAATCAGCTTTCACCCCTCACTACAAGTAAAAATTTTACACAATGCCAGTTGTTTAATCTTGGCTATGACCATAGAGCTGTACCAGATGAAAGCGTTAGTAGATTAGAAGCATACGGTTAGAGTGAGGTCTGGGGCTAGGTCACGTGACATCATTGTGCTACGAGACTGCGACTTCAATTCAGTTACTCGCGAGATTGATTAGGTTGTAGCGTCTTCTTGCAATATCTAACGAACCAAATAATAACTCTGGTACTCTGTTTTCCTGTAGCCGTATCCGAAATTTGTATGCATCCCGAATACAACCACAGTATCTTCAACAACGACATCGCACTCCTGCGCTTTGCAAGCCCCTTGCCTGGGTACAACGAGACCATGAGCCCGGTCTGTCTGCCGACCGCTTCCAGTCACTTCCCCGTGGGGACAAACTGCTCGGTGACCGGGTGGGGGAGAACGCACCAATCGGGCTGGAGCTCCAGAAAACTCCGCGTCGCCCGTGTTCCCATCATTGATCACGCCACCTGTAAACAGCAGTACCTGGAAGGCGACGGGGAAATTGTCACCGACAAGATGATCTGCGCCGGCTACCAGGAGGGTAAGGTGGACAGCTGCAAGGGAGACAGCGGAGGACCCTTTGTGTGTAAGGAGGGGGGCAGATACGTTCTTGCTGGAGCCACAAGCTGGGGAGTAGGCTGTGCTCAGGCGGGGAGGCCTGGTGTATACACCGACATCAAGAAGTTCTTGGATTGGATTGACGGACATATTTCCCCAGCAGAACCAGACCCATAAACTAAAACTGCGTGAAGTTCTTTACAGCTCCTACTTGTTAGACCGTTCACAGCCTCTCTATTTACGCCGCGAAAGACAAAGCGAGCGAAGTGAGCGCGAAGTATGCGGTGGTGGGGGTTGGGGTTTGCGAGGGAAGCGAGCATGTCGCTTCCCACCCCCTACCTAGTCAAGTCCTCCGTNAAGAAGTTCTTGGATTGGATTGACGGACATATTTCCCCAGCAGAACCAGACCCATAAACTAAAACTGCGTGAAGTTCTTTACAGCTCCTACTTGTTAGACCGTTCACAGCCTCTCTATTTGCGCACGCGAAAGACAAAGCGAGCGAAGCGAGTATGCGGGGGTGGGGGTTGGGGTTTGCGAGGGAAGCGAGCATGTCGCTTCCCACCACCTACCTAGTCAAGTCCTCCGTTTTGCGCTGGCGTCCAATTCTCTCGCGATTCTATCCGCGCGTTCAACGATCGAATAAATATAGGAGAAAATAGAGGGCTGTGAACAGTCTACTACTTGTCTGGCTACAATGTGCTTGTCGTGTAGTTTCGAAAATTAAAATTTAAAAAGTTACTTTCTAGTTGCTTCTGCAAAAGCGCTATTTGACTGTAGGAACCATGAAATACTGTTTACAAAGGACTTCCAATCTTTATCTCACTCTGGTGTCTAAATCACCGAAGACATTTCCGAGATAGAACGTTTTCATTCACATGACCAGCAGCCATGCAAAGTTATTGGAACAAAATGAAGTGTTCACATAAGAAAAGAGTTTACCTCCCAGAGGATTGGTTCGGTACAACATGGCCGCCGTTTGATTGTTTTGGAACACCAATATGGCTGCCGTGACGTCATGTGAAGGGGCTTCATAAGTTACGAAGATTTTTGAAGACTTTCGAAAACCCCTGAAGACGTCCNATACCGGACGGTAGGTCAACGCACGAAGCCAGAGAGAAAAGACAATCCAATTGGAGACTAGGTGGGAGACAATTTTC